CTTGGATCTTTCCTTACTGGAGATCAAATAGCATCATCACTCAAGTCATTTTTTCCCTTTAAAATAAGCTAATATACAGAATATAAAGCACAATATTTACAACAATACAGTAAACAGTTTCATTTCCACTCTGAACAGTAGTCTGTTTTAATGAGTATTAAAATAAAACTCTTACATGATCCAAAAAAAACCCTAACAGACACAAAGTGACATGGCATGGAAAGGAGTTAATTAATGTCTCCCATTTAAACACTTTAAAAAATAAATACCATTTTTGGCAAAATTTAGCTAAAAAATATTTTAACCCTAGGGACAGATGACTTTGTATATTCCTTTCAGTGGAACCGTATTATAAAGGAAGTGTGGTCAAGTGCCCAAGCTTTTAACCATCTTAAACATTTATTTCTAGAACAAGATTTAAGATTAAATCTTTGTATGTGTTGTCACTTCAGGCAGCCAACAAACTAACCATGGCCCAGATTTGCAGCACAGGGGTACATGCATGTTCCACCATGGGAATGATTTGGACTGTCAGTTTCAAAACCTTTAGACAAGTACTGCAATGAAGTCAAACATGTAACTAGTTCTTAAACAGTTTTTCTGATGTTAGCGTAACTGCCTGCCTGAAAAGACAGACCTATTCAGATTTAAGACCATATCTTGTTTGTGAAAGTGCTTCATTACTGGAGTGCCACAAGTCACAGATAAGGAGACCTGACATGCTCTTTTAAAGAGTTGAGGGCCTCAGCATCCAACTTCACCCAGACTCTCAAAAATCTCTGCTACTTCAAAAGATGAGCTTTTTGAAAGGCTGCTTTAAATACAAAAGATCAAGACCCCAAAGCTATGCACAAATGCATATGAAGACATTTTAAAAAGAAAATTTAAGCTCAAATAAGAAGCTAAGTTCAAAGCTTGACAGGTACGTCTTTCAAGTACACTTTTAAAAATGGTATTTGGTACAAACCTACATGTGTAAAATTTGCTTGATGATTTGGGATCTTGGTATTATCTGTTAGTGCCCCACGCCTCTGGTATAAAAACCTATTAGGCCAAAGTTTGTCTAAAATTTAGGTTTTGTGAAAATGAGATTTGACAAAACTTAAGGCCAACGAATGTTTCAGTGATTTTTATATAATTTCAAAGAAAAACTTTTCAAGTATGCCTTTACTGTGTCTGCAATCCAAATACTGCATCTTTGTGCTAGTGCACCAGCACCTTTAAATAAACGTCTAGAAACAAAACGTGAAAGAAATGATCTGAGTATTACCTTGGATCCTTGGTCAGCATTATTATCCAAGCAGAGTTTAAATTCCAATAGAACAGCTTAAGTGAAAGACCTTTTTAAAGTTTTCCACCGTTATAAGCATTAAGAGTTTAGTCAGCAGCACTCCCTTTCAAACATTATGCTGGTCAAAGATGTAGCATTCACAAAAATGAAGCACAGTCAGAAACCCTTCATTATTAAGATGTTCTTCACTACATGTTCCAGGTACAAACATTCTTCCATCAATATGATCTTTCCACAGTATAGAAATAAGGAAAACATAAGCAAATATCTGCTTCATTTCAACAGGTTTATGGGTGCTCCTGGTATGGCTGTGAGCACTCCTGTGCCACCAATGCCATCACTTATCCTAAGGGCCTGTCTCCACTTACCGGTGGGTGCAGCAATCGATCCACCGAGGGTCGATTTAGCGGGTCTAGTGAAGACTCGCTAAATCAACCGCCGATCGCTCGCCCGTCAACTCCGGTACTCCACCGGAACGAGAAGCGTAAGGTAAGTCAACGGGAGAGTTTCTCCTGTCAAACCAATGCGGCATAGACATTGCAATAAATCGACCTAAGGTACATCACTCCAGCTATGTCAATCACGTATCAGAGTGGTAGCCGTTAGCCTGTATCAGCAAAAACAACGAGTCCTTGTGGCACCTTAAGAGACTAACAAATTTATCTGGGCATCAGCTTTTGTGAGCTAGAACCCACTTCATCAGATGCATCTGACGAAGTGGGTTCTAGCCCACAAAAGCTGATGCCCAAATAAATTTATTAGTCTCTAAGGTGCCACAAGGACTCCTCGTTGTTATTCACATAGTTGAAGTTACGTAACTTAGGTCAACTTAACCCTGTAGTGTAGACCTGCCCTGAGTCTGGACTGACAATGGGAATTTCAGTTTTTGATAGCAAGTATTTTATGTTAATATTTCCTTTACCATATCAAAATTGCAACAGTTCTAAAAAGCCTTCCTACATACAGAAAGATTCTGATATCCAACTGGTATAATTCCATGGAGTTACTCCCCATTTATACTGGTGTAAGGAAATTAGCAATCAGACCCCTCAAGTCTGAATTGCAGTCCAAATATATTCTACCCTGCCAGAGGGTAAAATACAAATCTTATTCTAGGTCAAATTTTAAAAATGTAAAAAATACATCTGAAGTATCATTTGTGGTTAGCAGAATAGATGCCAGTCCATGCTCACCCTCTAGTAGAAGGCATTGGAATCAGTGAAGATGGGGAAAAATAATTCTGCAGTTACAGTAACGTTCGCAACATATGTTTTTCTTGCTATGAGGAAGAGATGGGAGGAGTGTTTCACAGCCAGCCACACCTGTTACATTTGTTTCTCATGCTGATACTTGAAAGTGTTGAGAATTTGGAGTCCCATCAAACAGAGAATACTTTACAGAGGAAGACCTGTATTTGCTGACTTCTGTTTGCACGTTTAAAAAAAAAAATCTAGAAAATAGAATATACTGTTATTTATAACTAGATTACACATTTCTCGGAGTTGCATTTAATGTTTTTCCAACCCATACTTTAAAAAAAATGTTTTCATTCCTTGTTTCTTGCCTGACCTAACGTGGTATTTATTAAATCCTTGGAAAATGTTTGTACCACATGGATTCTTTGGACTTTTTGAAGAACATGCATCCACAAAAGCACTGAGATTTATTCACTGAAAACACTGTTTTTGTACAAATCCATTTTAGGAATTTGATCTACCTTATTACACTGCTAACAAGCAAAAAAAGTTTGCTTTCTTGAAATCCTCTTTTAAAAAAATATGAGGAAAAAAAACAATGAGGAGGATTTACTGATTATAGGTCTAAAAAAGTGTCAATATGACACTGTGTTAAGAATAGAAAATAAAAAAAGTATTTACAGCTTTACAAAGGAAAAAAAAGAGGTCATCAAAATGATTTCCAGCATTTTCACAATTTTTCTTCTGGCAAGCTTTTGATCTGGTCACTACAGATGTGTTAAATACAGACAAAATGGGACCACTGTCAGCTAAATCAGCAGCATCATTTGAAACAAAACTAAACAAAAAACCTCATGGGAAAACGACCATGGGATCGACTCAATAACTACCAAGGGGCTGACCCTGCTAGCTATCAAGTCCACTGCCTTGACTAAAATATAACCCCAAACCCAAGTATGAAGATAAATTTTAAAAATGGATTACATATGGTTATAGAAAAAAGAGACAAACACAACAACCACCACAGTCATTGCTATTACCATCATACACATTTCATCATCATACACATTATTTCTTACTCTTTACTATACAGGTATCCCCACCTCCTACACTTGCAAACAATGCAACCTCATTACAGATGGTCCTCATAATTATGGCTATGAGATGAACTGTAGGTTACAGATTACTTGCATCAACAACTAAGTTTGGCTTCCTCAAGCAGTTCACTCTATTAACGCAGGATACTCTTCTCTTTCCCGGCCTCGACATGCCAACCATTAAAGGTAAAACACTGACCCAGTCTCCTGGCAGGACACTGCATTTTACAAAGAAAGCAGCAGCAGCTAAGTAGGACGGCGGTTTAAACTGTTCAACTTCTCCACTACAAAAGAGGTTTTCATAATCTGAGGACAGCTGACTGGAAGTCTCTAGGAAGGTTGTCTCACTACAGGAGCAAACTCCTGTTATAAACAACGTTTCCTCCAAAGTCACTAGAGTACTAACTACAAACATTCAGCTTTGGCAGGCGGTCTCTCAACCTTTTGAGAAACCTAATATATTTAGCAGCTGAGGTTCAAAGAGGCTTGGTAACCTTAAAAATACTTGAACTGAAAACATGGAGTCCCACTCCCTTATCAAAAGGGCATGACTGACACGTATTTTTCATCCCACCCCGCAAACCCCACTTCTAGTGAACATAATTTACTGCTTTGGCTAGATAAGAGATGCTAAGAATGAGCACTTTGGAATACAGGTTTCTTTTAAAAAAGACCTACGCACAAAATTACATGTAATGAAACATTTTAAAAAGGCCACTGAGGTACAGTATGATTGATAAAAGAGTTCCTAACAAGAGATTATGCACAAGTGGCTTGAATGTTTCAAACAGCAAGTAAAATTAATAGTGTGTCCTTGCATTACAGTTCTTTTCGTGGACGGGAGTAATTTAAACTCACATTGTGGATCCAGAAGGGTCTCATCACAGTAGTTCTTCCCACCTGGAATGATATGGGGGGGCCATATGTTTCAGATGGCCCACACAATTCAGTCTGGGTTTAAGAAGTCAGCTACAGGACACTCAACAGGAAGAGCGATGAAAGAACTACAGGCAGCAATGCATGGAACCAGAGTCAATAAGATGGTACTGTACACAAAGCTACTCTACAAGCAAGGATCTGTCAGGGTTACACTGCCCCCAAAGTGAAGCAAGTTGTGCAAAATTCCAAGAGGCCTTATACAGACACTACTTTAGTGAGGCTTGTGCTCTGTTATGGAGAAAGCAGCACTCTGATGTGTACTAGATTTTGTTTGCTCACAATGCCATCCCCCTGATTTTATTTCAAGTTGATGGGTACAGAACAGCCATCTCAGCATCACTTAACGCTGGGAGGATGCTAAAACCTGACATTTCTCTGTCCAATCTATATGGGAAGAAAACCACTCCCACTCCCAGTATTTTCAAACCCCTGTGGGAGGAGTTTCATGAAGTGGGGGGGCGGGGGAAGGAAGAGATAATAATTTGAAATTTAGTCTCTAAGTCTTAAAATGGTCACTAGCTACATAGTTACTTCTAAGAGCTATTAATTATGTCTTCAACAGTGGCCTGCAAAACAATCTGGTACTGTCTTCCACTTACTTAAAGTCAGATTCCCATTCCCCTTTTCTCTTGGCTCAGTTGTGACAATTCCTAATTATAACCAAGAACAGCCCATCTCATGCCACTAGCTCCCTGAATAGAAAGTAAATAAATTAGACTTTTGATGCTGCTTTCTCTGGTTTAAAATACAGAGGAACAGACACGTAAGGCCTAGGTCTACTTGCTTTCTCACAGAGAAAGCACATGGCTGTTATTCCCTAATTCCAGAGCAGCAGTAGTTTAGGATTCATTTTTACTGTGCCCTAAAAAGGATTACAGTATTTTCAGCTTTTCCAAAGAACAGTGGTCTGTAATGATGTCACATCTCAAGCCTACATCTACAGCATGGTGTGTCAGTTTACCCTGATGCTTCAACCACGCTGCTCATGAAACTGCATTTTATGCTGCTTATCTCCCAGACAGTAAAGTAGGACTTGCAACTATTATGGTTGAAAAAAAATTCAGGAACTGAAGGGCTGATCCCCCTCCTAATCCCATCCCAGGAAACAAAGGCATTATAACAGACATTCCTCTACAAAGGAAGCTCTACAGATAACTAACATGTGCAACTGTGTTTTTAGCTTTCCTTCCACCAAGAGATAACTCTAGTCCAGCAGGGACCAAACATTCCGTATAAATAAGGCAAGCTTTTTTTTTTTTTTGCATAGTAGTTTAACGGTGATATTCCCACCCCAGTGTACCTTGTCCATCTACTTTGCCACCGAGCTGAGAACTGCTTCTTGGGATTCTAGACTCAGGCAAAAAGCTTGTGCAGATTCCAAAGGTCCCTCCACCCAGACAGATGGCATAAAGAGATTCCTTTAGATACCTTATAATTGCATGAGCCTAAAGTCTGCCTCTAACCCACTGCTATTTTTAAATGGGGTTAACAGCTACATTTGGAGGTGTTTACATTTTTTCCTTTTTTTTTTTTTGCCAGACAACTGTGGTAATCATACTGCAATTGTGTTGTGGTCCATGTTCCTTTTGCCAATCAGTGCAGCCCTTCAGTAAGTCATAAGCCTACTGAAACACCCAAAACATTTGCAGCACCATTCTCTGCTGCGGCCAGATTTTTTTTTTCCCCCTTTTTTATTTTTCTTATAAAAAACACCTGCTATTAATATTCTATTAGAGCTCAAAGTGGCTCAGCTTGGGGCAAAGGCACCATTAAAACACCATGTTTTCTTACAGAATTCTGCATTTGTAATTGGTAGAACAGTAGAAATGTACAGCACCAATCCTCAGGTGGGGTGGGGATGCGTATCGGAATGAGTCCTCAGGAACCCTGTGCCAGGGCTTATTAGTCTGTTCGGTCAGTATTCTATTTTTTCACTTTTTTTTTTTCTTTCTGTATTTTCCCTTTCACTGGAATGCTCTGATTATGTATCAGCTGACCATAGGCTCCACGTCCGCCTCTCTGTCAAACTCATCTTGAATCTCGTCTGTGTTTCCTGAGTCACTGCTGGCTACAGAACTGGGAGATGGAGAATTTCTGCAGAGAAAGATTTAGACAAAGTTCAGCAAGTGATGCTGTTAAACACTGCTCTTTCTGTTCATTTTAAGAAAAAGAAAAAAAAGGGGGTCCCTTTCCATCCTCAAGTAAGGTAAAAAAAAGTGTCACTGTATCGGGACTTACATTTTCTAATGAGTATTAATAGTGAAACCTAGCACTTCTCATCCATAGAATCTCAGTGTTGTACAAATGTGAGTATCACTAGCCCCATTTTACGATAGGGATGTGGAAGCTGAGAGCGCAAATGACATACCAGTCTTCCAACACAACAGTGAGCATCAAGCCTCTTTGGAAGGTGCGAAAAACTTCCTTTCCAAACTGAAGAAAGCACCAACCGGAAGTATTTTACTTAACTGCTTTTTAATGGACTGTTAGGCAATGTGTCTGCAGGAGGAGCTCTTAGAGAACAGCAGAGAACCAAGGAACATCCTATTTACCTGTCAGCTGAGCCTTTGATAAGTCTACGACAGGTTTCCATCTGTACGTCCAGGCCCCTCTTCATGCTGCACATTTCCATGTATTCGTGGAGGTGGCGATTCATGTCACTCTTGGCTGTGGCTAGCTCCAGCTGTCCAAAACAAGGGACGGTGGTCAGCATATAACAAGGAGACTTGCTAAATCCCCGTCCTGTCCAGTTTTACGGGTTGTTGCCATACTGAATGTCATGCAAGCACTCCAGTAACCTATTCCTTACACATTCATGAGGTCCACAGGGCATCCTTACTTTCCATCTTATCTGAGGTTACCATATTTATCAGCTTCTGCCCAGTACTGCAATCCTGTTTAGTTTTGCTGCTTTCAACAGCTCTCAGCTACTAATTGTTTGCACCCTGTTTGTCAATGTACAGCGATTCCTTAAACGTGAACGCTGCCTGTGAGATGCTATTTATATTTTATGGCTCGTGGATAGAGCATAAAGATCTTGAGAAGCTATACTAGTGCAGCCTGGCATTCTCAGAAATCATGCCTTAGCAACTAGAGGGATTTCCCAAGGAGTGACAGAAAGGATGTTGTAGAAAACTGGCAAAATCTCCATGTATTTTTATTTATACTCGTCTGAGCTGTCTTTTACCCACTAGTTAGAACTTTACACTCACTCTAGATAGTAGAGTCTCAGGTAGGATATTGCGCTATGGAGGAGGGATGTGCCCTACTGCGGATGATGCTGAGAGTCAAGTTCTGCAGTTACATATACACAATCCATATACAGAGCGCACAGTTTGGGCCAGGGAGTACCCACAGTACTGATGTTCATAACAGATTTTTAAGCTGGTGAATAAATCCTTACGCAGAGTATTTTTCTTTCACAGGGGAGCACTTTCTCACCTCAATCTGTCCTATTGTTTCCTGATATTCTTGGTCTCTTGTTTTGAAGAAAGATTCTGTTTCATGGATCAAGTTTCCCAGATTCTCCTCCTGCTACAGAAGAACATTACAGACCAGTTAGTGAGGACAGATTAAAACGGTTTATGGAATTGCTCATTTAGGTCCCAATCACGTAGCCCTTTAGTTACACAACTAGTTCCCCACCCAACCCTTAATCCACTATGACTGCTTGTGGATAACAGCTTCAGAATTTGTCCCATAAAGTCACATTTTTCAAGGTGTTTAGGTGGGATTTTCAAATACCCCTCAGCATCCAAAACTCATTGATTTCAATGGGTGTGGGTGCTTAGATACTTTTGAAAATCCCACTAGGCACCTAAAGAACTAAAAATCTGGCTTTTAGTGACTCCGTGACTAATAAAGACCTCCATGACTTCAGCCCTGGTGGCTGGGAGCTGCAGGGTCCTGCCGCCTCCCACAGTGACAGACAGCCATGAGGTACCCCCGCTGCCTCAGGCAGTGGGCCCTCAAGCTCTCAGCTGCCATGGGCAGCAGGGGTACCCCGCAGCTTCTCACCAGCCACAGAGGACAGGGGGATCCCCTGCAGCTCCCCAGCCACTACTGGGGGACTCTGGAGCTCTGAGCCCCCATGGGTGGTGGGGACCCCAGAGCTCCCAGCCACCCCGCAGTTGCCCAGCCCCTTCCCATTTTATCATGGATTTTTTTAGTAAAAGTCAGGGACAGGTCACAAGCTTCTGTGAATTTTACTTTATTGCCCGTAACCATGACAAAATCTTAGCCTTAATTATGGTTTGAAATAATTTTTCAGAAGTGTTACTTTATTTGTAAACAAGAAATACTGCTTTGGAAATCTGGCTTATAGACTAAGTTATTTACTGAGTCTCCGTGATTTGGGCACTGTACAGGCAGGAGAGACATCCACTGCTCCAAAGAGTTTACACTGAATAAACACTAGCAGTGTAGCCAGTGCCAGACAAACCACCCATGATATACTGGAGCTACTTTGGTAGATTACTGGAAGGCTTCATGGAAGCCACATGGGGCTTTTTATTTTTAAAGTTTGAGTGAAGAGGAAGTAGTCTGAGTCATGAATTGAGGAAGGCTCCACAAATGAAAGGATTAGCACAAAAAGATGAATGATTATGATGCATTATTGTATTTCCATAGCATCTATGAGCCGTGGTCCTGGACCAGGACCCCATTGTGCTAGGTGTTGTACAAAGAAGGATTAACAGATTTTAAGACCAAAAGAGACAATTTTGATCATCTCATCTGAGGATGACATGGGCCAGAGAATCTCAGCCAGCAAATTTCTGTATCAAGCCCATAACTTCTGTTTGAGCTATGATTTTAAGAAAGACATCTAGCCTTTAAACAAACACTTTAAATGACTGAGTATATCACATCTCTAGGTAAGTTGTGCTAATGGTTAGTTCCCCTCAGGCTTAATTTGTCTAGTTTTAGATTCCAATCATTTAATTCCATTATACTGTTTCTGCTAGATCAGAAAGCCATCTAGCATCAAAAATCTCTTCCCCATATAGGAAGACCATGATCAAGACCTCTTAATCTTCTCTTGGATAAACAAACTAAATGGAGCTTCGTAAGTTTCTCACAGAAGGTCATATTTTTCTGACCTTGAATCATTCTTTTAGCTCTTTAATAACCCTTCCCAGTTTTTCTACATTCTTTTTGAAGTGTTGACACCAGAAATAGACACAGCAGAGTCCAGTAATGGTCTGACTATTACCACATTGTTCAAAGGAACCCACCTCACCAAGCAGTTCAAATCAGTCTGTACAACTGACCTGTTCCCATCATTTACCACTCCAATTTGTGTACTCTCTGCACTTTTCTTCCAGAACATTGATGAAGATATAAAACAACATTGAGAAATGAACAGATCCCTATAGGACACTCCAGAAACAACCCCACTCGATAACAATTACCCATTTACAATTACTTTGAGACCTATCAGTTAACCAGTTTTTAATCCATTTAATATGAGTAACATTGATTTCAGTATAATGCCCCCCCTTTTTTTTTTTAAATCAATGTCAAAAGGGACTAAATCAAATGCCCTACAGAAGGCTAAGTATACCATCACAGTTAAATTTTGTTTGACAAACCCTATTTTCCATAAAACTATGATGATTGGCATTAATTACGCTACCATCCTTTAATTCTTTAGATATTGCATCCATATCAGCCTTTCCATGAGTTTGCCTGGGATCGATGTCAGGCTAGCGGGCCGATGATTTACCAGAGTTATCCCATTTTCTTTTTTTCCCTGCAAAAGGATTTTACGGAAGGAGGCCACAAATGAAGGTGGCTGGGGTGTGGAATAAGAACTCTACTGGGGGAGACTCAGGCATGTAAACCACTCTGATGCTAAAGCCCAGGCACATACTCAAACAGTCCGTCTTAATTCAGAATCTCCATCTACAAGGCAAATCTACCCTTTCCTTGTGTAATATTCATTCAGAAGGATTTAAGCCTCTTAAAACCTTTAGAGTTACACCACAGAAGGTCTGAGTTCTGTAATATGCCACTGATAACTGAGCTTATACATGCACACATGGCTATATGCAAATAATCTGTCACTAATTCCAGCACACAGCCACATTACCTTATCATTCTGGCACTCTGCCGGCTCACCAGAAGACATATAGCTAAATATGCAGTATTCTGCAGTCTTAGCTCTTTTAAGTAATCTCTGCAGTTTCAGCATGTGCCATATGATACACAAATGGAAAGATGTAAATTAACACACTCCTGGCAGTCAACACAAGACAATATTCAGGAGACAGCTGCCTCAGCATCTTTATATTCTAGTGGTGATGGGATGGGGGAAGGCAGAATTCCTACTCACCCAGAGCTGTCATACTACTCAGTAATGGAGTAAGTGGAGGCGCTTACAGCCAAAGGTAGTTAAATGACTTCAAGGGATGATGAGCAAGTGAGAGTATGGGAAGGATAAGATTTAAAGCAATAGATCATCAGAGGCATTAGTTTTAAAAAGTATCTTTTTAGTTCCTTTTGCCTTGTATTTTAGTTTTAACATTATATTTAAGTTTTGAGGGAGCAAACAGACAAGATTGATGGCGGGTAGATCAGTATCAGAAAGCAAGCCAAAACTTAAGAGGATCTGAAAAAGCAAGTTTTCATGGCAAACTGGATCACCAGCCAAAGATCCAAAGGCTGAGAGTGGCTATACAAGATAAGCTGCAGTATGCCATCCCCTGAAGGAAATAAATGGGAAACAAGTAAAAAACACAACAACTCAGCTCACTTCTCCTTGAAGGTCAATCGAAGGATTGCAGTTTGTGAAGTCTTCCCAGAGAAGCAGGGTGTCTTCATTCTCCTCCCATGTTAAACTGTCACAGTCATCATCAAAATCAAATGTCTCACGCCTATTAAAAGAGCAGTAAAAAGAAAAAAAGGGTAGAAATTATTTCAAACCATGTCTTTCCAGAGTCTTGGAAATACCTGCAAAAGAACAGGCTTAAAACACTCCAATTTGTGTACTCTCTGCACTTAAATTAAGTGCAGAGAGTACTTAAAACTATAGGGAGGAAAGGAAGAGAAACAGCAATGCAACAGCTGAAAAATCTAAAGGCTATTAAAAACAGGCTGTGCTGCTCTGTCTGCAAGGTTCTGACACTGGGCTTCTCCCCACCTGCAACAGAGTACTGGAATCTTGTCAACATTCATTCTACTTTAAACAGACAATTCCAGTTTTGGCCTCTAGATGGTGCTTTAAGTTTGCTATTTCAGCACCGAACAGTTGCTAAACCACAAGAATGTTTTAAACTATTCTGTTACGTAGGAGGAAATCAAGTTTGACTGAAAACGTAGTTTTAAATGTTCCCAAAAGCAAAGGCCAATAGAATGGTTCCCATGGATTTTTTTTTTTAAAAAGTGTCAAATGGAAAGTTTTTACACAAACATTCCGCCTACAGCACTTGCAAATCAAATGTTGCAGTTCCAAGAAAGAGACCAACTGTGAACAAATTAAATAGACTCCACTGATTTTCATTCTCCAAACAGAGGCACAAAACCGCATGAGTAAAAAATCCTGTTTATTTTCTCATTTAAATTCCATTTTGAGTAATAGTTTCATTAACATAGGTTAAAAATAGCCTGCAATAATTTTTAATTTGACGGAGTCCCTTTAATTTGGGCAGTTACTAAGTAAATTAGAGTTACAAGAAAGGAGAGACTTGAACCGCAGCAGAATGGAAATTCTACTCTAGCTACTTTGTTTCTTTTCCTTGTTAAAGCAGAGCCTGAAAAAAAAGGCTTCTTGTTTTATAGTTGCTCTCTTGTTTCAGGCTTAGCCATATTTTTGTTTCCCGAGTTCATTTCCTTTTAAGATGATCACATCAAGCCAACAAGTTGAGTCCAACTCTGTATCTTATGAAAAAGTTAAAGAATTTGGCAAGAGGACAGGCAGGGAATGTACGTCTACTGATGACCAGCCTTGCTTATTTTTAAAACTTCTGGTTTAATGCACCCGCCCTTCACAGTCTGTTCAATCATAGTTCTTTTCACTCTAAGAGCTCACTGTTTGAAAAGACAAAGACCACCCAATTTAAACTGTTGCCTGCTTTAGCAGTATTCATTGTTCAAAGATGGTTATTTGTTTTATTTGAATACTCAGGAACTTTCACTAATAACAGTGCTTTAATGATGCACCTCATTAATTACAGCTCAAAAAAATGAATTATTTTCATCTCTGGTGTTGGTATGAGTCAGATTATTTGGTGGTGTATATCCCCCGCACCTCCCACCCACAAATCCATTGCCACAAAACCCAAGGGGATGCAAGTTTGAAATACCTTTGTTTATCACAGGTCACTTAGATGAACCTATGACCATTCAGTGTTATTTAGATCAACCACATTTGAAGTTAATGACAGGATTTCTAGGTGCTGCTGCTGATACAAGAGTTTTTTCTTATTAAATCAAGTTTATAAAAACAACCATTGTAGAAGCCTGTTGCATTTTAATAATGAAGCCATAAATTACTGCAAAGCTTGCGTCAGTAATTCATTGAAAGGAAAAAGGAAAGCAAAAAACACACCAGCAGCATGACTGGCTGCGTGGGAAGAGATAAGAAAGACACAATGAAGAGGGGTTAGTGTCATACCCAAGGATCTTCAGAATGATGTCACAAATGAGTCCTCCCCCCACCCCCAATAGAAAGTTTTGTAAAGTGTGTGTGTTGTGGACTTGGAAGATTTATTTGCTAATTAGGAGAGTATTAGAGACAGAGCATTAAGAGGACTTCACCATACAAATCAAATCTTAAGTTCCTTGTTTTTTAAACTAGTGTTGGAATTAGTGTTTGTATCATGTTTTCAGTATAATACTGTAAATGCTAATTACTAAAAACTCCACAAAAATAATCTGTTGGCTTGCAGTTAAGCACATTGAATTTCAGCAATGAAAGAAGTAAAGAAACCTAAAATACATTTCTATTACACTATGAAAGAACTACAGTTGGCTGAATGTTGACAAGGAGAAGAGGGCCAGGGGGAGTTGATAGTGAGCACCTAAGGTCCATGTTTGGAGTGGCATTAATAAGGGAGCCACCAACAGCTCTCCAGCTCAGGGAGTTCCCATTATGTAAGACTTGAAAAGCATTATAATGACTATTTTGGTAGCAGCCAACCAAGGCAGAAAGCAACAAGCCTGAACTCTAGAGATTATGAAATTTACTATCTTGTACAGGGGTGGCCAACCTGTGGCTTCAGAGCCACATGCGGCTCTTCAGAAGTTAATATGTGGCTCCCTGTATAGGCACCGACTCTGGGGCTGGAGCTACAGGTGCCAACTTTCCAATGTGCCGGAGGGTGCTCACTGCTCAACTCCTGGCTCTGCCATAGGCCCTGTCCCCACTCCACCCCTTCCCGCCCCTTCCCCTCAGCCTGCAGTGCTCTCACTCCTCCCACTCTCCCCCAGAGCCTCCTGCATGCCACAAAACAGCTGATCAGGAGGTGCGGGGAGGGAGGGGGGAGTCACTGATCAGCAGGCTGGGAGGCGCTGGGAGTACAAGACAAAGCCCCCAGAGCATGCTTGCCACAGTTGGTGGCAGATGCTAGAGAAGCACATGCCAATCCTCTCTGGAGAGGCAGTAAGGAGCACTGCAGAGCTCATAGCCCCCAGACTTCCTGAACTATCTTGTCCTGCACCACCAGCAAGATGGTTCTGGAGTTTTTGATAGGCTGCTATAGCTCTGCTACCACCACCCCAACGTTGGGGGGGAGGGGAGGAGTTAAAGCAGGAATTTACCCTACTAATTCTAATCCGCAAGAACACACCAGTCCTGAGCAAAACTGTTCCAGCATTAGTGTCCTTAACATCCATAACTAGGTATTCTGGTGTTGGAGTTCCTAGACAGAATCGCCATGACGGTTGGCTCAAGTTAATTCCAAACTTTCCTGCAGAAATTCTGTATTCATATCATGAACTGAGCTTTTAGCAAACAAGTTAAGGAAAAACAATTACTTCTCACACTCCATTCAGACAAAGAGGCAGATGTGGGGGGAAAAAAATCTCACAACTCTGGAAATCTCTAACATTTATGCCAGACCATATAAATAAGGGCAGAGTTTCATTCTTGAGCATGCTACACATGAGCTACAAGCAGGGTGATTATTAAATAAAAGTTTAGAAGTCTAATTTAACTATTTATTGCTATTTGCTTCTGCATTCTACTCAGTGTGGACAGTGAAAATAAACTGTTCAGTTACACTTTTGTTTATATCTAAATTTCATTGAGAGTCTTATGCACTACCAAAATTCTGCAGTCCGAGTTCAACTAATGCTGAATATTTGGTGAAAAACTAATTCTACTGGAGGTTTAGAAAGTTTGTGGAAACACACTGGGGTCTTGGATTGCGACAACAAAAGTCATCTGAATTTGGGATCTCAGTTGACCTGAAAGTCCCACAATAAAGACATCATACTCTACAGAATACTCACAGCTGATTAAACATTCGCTTCATTTCATCTGTGATGTTCAGAGAACAGCTGACTTCGTCATCTGATAATCTGCTGTTGTCTCCATCCTGCTCAGAGAGGTCATCGTCAGATGTTAGCTTGCGTTCTTTCTTTTTGGAAGCCACCTTAATCGGAGAGAAGGGCAGTGACTGGAAGGTTCAACTGAGGTGCTGCACCGAAGGATGCAGAGATAAGAAAGGAGAGGTGTTAGGTTGGGTGGAAGATAATGGTTCAACAGTACCCAGTGATTCAGGTGCGTGAGTGACTGCACGCATTAAGGACAGGAATCGCATCTGTTAAGAAGTGGTGAACGTAGAGCAAAAGGAAGCAGTTCAAAATGGCACAGAGCAAAGCAAGCTGCAGACTGCCAGAGCTCTACATACAGGATGTATTCGCCGGCAACATTATATGGGCTATAGAAGAGCATGCGAAGGCTAGAACAATACAGGGACCAAGCATAAGCTGGCGAGAATGCCCAGGCAGCAGGCTTGAGAGCAATGACAGTCTCTCCCTCTCTTGCCACTACCGTCACAAGCCTGGTGCTTTCAGAGATGAACACTCACAGAAAGTACACAACACTCTTTTAAAGGTAATCTTGATTACTTTGCTATTCCCACCCCACTATCACAGGCACAGATTGCTAGTCATCACTCTGACAGTACAAGAGATATGTGGGAACTGAACTGTGAAAATATTTGAACAAACCCAAATAAATGCAGTTGATAGATGTGCAAAGAGACCCCAAAGCTAACCCTGAAAAGTGAAGGATCATTCTTTTGTCCCGTGGGACTTTGGCACAAATATTCATGAGAATTTACAGATGGCGTGATGTAGTCTCGAACACATTTAAAGCACAAAATAAATGCCAAATCTCCTCTTTAATTTTCACTAATTTGCTAACTGAACCATTCAGAACCGGTGTTGCTCTTTGTGCTAATGATTTTAACCACTGCATACTTGATCAAAACTGTGTACTCAATTTAGAGCAGTAGCACAGTTTTACCACTTAAAGTTAAAAGACAAGATCGCTCTTTAGAACAACGGAACACTGATGAACACAGGAGAGCCGCAATTCTCTCCCCCCATCAAGTAGGAAATTTGAATCCATTTCTGTCCAGATTACCCCCCAAAAAAGCTAATGAAAACTCATGTTTACCTTAGCTAAGCATTTTATAAGACACATTAAAAAGCTGATTTGGAATGGAGGAGAGTTTACTGTTCACCACATTTAAGACATAGCCATGTGAAAGGCTCAAGAGAAGGGCAAGGACTTTTTGTGCAGCCCTAAGTAGCTACTGTACTAGACAGATGTAAAAAGTCAGACCTATTTATTCGAAGACAGAAAGGGAAGTTAAGATAAGTTGGAAGGGCCAGTGACCAATTTAAAATGCAGTTATGATTTAAAAAAAAAAAAAAAAAAAAAAGGAGGCTGTGCTAAAGGCACTCGATCACTCAATAGCTGTTTTTTGAGCTATAACTGCCTACTTTTGGAGCAAAAGAAGTTACTCTTTTTCCCCTGTTAGTATCGCACAGCCAATATAGCTATGGGAAAGTAAACTGTATTCTATTCACCCTCACATATCAGAGTAATTGTAGTTAACTAACCATCAGTCACAGAATTTATTTATTTCTCATCCTGGTGTATGAGCCAAAAATAAGGGCTCAACTTGGAGATCACAGGATGCAAGTACGGTGCATGAAGTTAAAATCCTCTTACTTGTGAAGAGAGCAAATCTGATGGAACTGTTTAGACGAATATGGAATCCCAGGATGCTTTCTTGTACAGTTACTTGTAAACTACCACCAAACTTTAAGAGTATTTTTCAGAGAACATTCTGAGCTCTCTTTGGAAGGTTTTCTATAAACTCTCAAGTCTTAATATGTGGATCATTGCTACAACTGGAGATAGATTCAGGAAGAAAAGAAGTCTACTGGGGAGAAATTTCAAAAGAAGTTGAGAATGTTGGATGAAGTTGGAGCCTGAACTAAACTCCCCAACATTCCCTCTCTTTCCCCCCCACCCATACTGCCATCTTGTCCTGCCCTACAGAAAATTCAGGGCCTAATCACCTGGAATATCTTGGAAACGTCTTCAGAGTTGCGCTGCTGTGCTACATCGCACAGCTTAGCTGTAATATCGATTCGACGGCAGATGTCCATGTCCACCTTCATGGCCTTTTCTTGGATCTTTGTGTCCAGGTCTGTCATGGGCTGCAGGAAGGACAGTAGTGGATTATCTTCTATTGTTACACAGTTCAGGAGAGAAGAGATACCCACTGTATCTCTATAAACCCGGAGCACACCATTCTTATATCACATTGAGCCTGTTCTCCAGGGAAAGGCAGCACAAGGATAGTCTAGATTAGACAACTACTGGAATTAACACTTTCAAATCTGATTCCAACAAATACAAGTGTTTGAGAATGAACACTAGCTACTGAGATACTCATTCCCACAGCACAGAGTCCTAGACCCAGCAAAAGTCAACCCTTATGGACTCAGTGAAGCTATGAAATGGAGGGGAAAAGACTTAAACCTGTTAAGCAAGCAAAGAACAAGATGGGGGATTTGATGATACTTCATCATTTTTGCCCACTTCAGATAGGAAGTTAGCACTTCATTGTAAAGAAAAAAAAGTTAGTCAGATTCTGTTCTGAAAAAATTGTGTACCAACTTCATATATATCACCAAAAAAGTTAAAACAGGGCTAGTCTATAGACGTCCATGTGAGTTTGGTACAGGGCAAAAGTAATACCCACATTAATCTGTCTTCTGTCCCAGCAGAGAACTGTATGCCACTGAATCATATCGTGCTGCACATTAGACAGACATTATATATATTATTTGTAAGTAGCTGCTCCTCCTTCCCCATTGCCAATGTTGCTGCATGACTGAGGAGATTTTCTCCATTTATAACTGTAGAGTTTCTGTGCTAGAAAACCTATGCTGTGTTGGGAAGGACTGGCCTGAATGCAAGTGATAGCCTACTTTCACATAGTATTTGGGAAAACACCAGTCAAAGACTTGTATTACTCTGTAAGCACTACTTTCCACGTGGAAATGCTTTTGCTAACTAAATCAGAAAGGTTTGTTTTGTTTTTAATTTCCTCCATCCAGGATAATCTTTCTCCACATGAAACATAAGTAGAGAAGATTTTTTTAATCAAAATGTTTGTGTTCAGAAAAAACATGTCTACACAAACATGAAAACATTTGACAAAAGTTTTGATAAAGAGTATTTATATCTGTGCAGTTTGTCAACAGGACAAAAAACATAACCCGCAAGTCATTTAGTTAGGCATTTTTTGTCCTGAATATCATTGGGTAACTATGCAAAAACAGTTACGGCTTTCCACACAGCTTTGTGGCCTTCTCTACCACTCTGCTTAGCTCCACCTTGCAGAGCTCAGAAAGGCTGGAGGAAGCACTTGTACTTCAACAACAACAGGATGTTGTATTCACTACCTCCCTCAGTATGCACAGTAGAAAATTACAGGGGAAGGATGCAGCTCTAACAAATAGCTCACATTCTGAGTAACTTTCCCAGACCTGAAGAAGAGCTCTGGCGTAAGCTTGTCTCTTTCACAAACAGAAGTTGGGCCAATAAAATATATTACCTCACCTACCTTGTCTCTCTAAATTGCTCTCCTTCAGACTGTATTTAATCCAGCAAGTATTTCTATTTTTGATGAACCATTCAAAGAGGGGGCCAGTGAACGGCTGAATTTTTTAGGAGTAGGCCTAGCAGCCCTGAGAGAATGGATGCGACTTCAGGGAACAGGTTCTGCAAGTTTGCATCAGACTGGGGGTGTGGGGGGGTGGTGGGGGGGGAATAAAATTCTTATAAAATTACAGACTAGATATGCATCATGATTGATCTTAGCTACACTGCTGGCATCAGCAACTCTTCAGTAAAAGAGAAGCCTGCTGCTTAAAATCCTGCTCTTTTATCTACTTACGCATTTTCCTCTCACCTATGCACACTAGCCCTACACACTGACAGTCAGACAATATGCTATGACTATAGCCAGACTGTAAGATAAAGTTCTCAAAACTGCCAGTCATGACATTGCCAGATCCCACAGCTTTGGGGGAAATTATAGACTCAAAAAGGACAATGGTAGAACTCCAGAGATATACACAGTTTATAAGTTTTCTAAAAGGAGACAGCAGCACTGCAGACAAAACCATATCCTGGAACCAATGACACAGAAACTGGGATAGTCTCGATAAGAGCCTTTCACAACGGTAGAATTGGGACTGCCATTTTAGATTTCCTTTCTGACAATAACTGCTTGTACGACTCAAATCAAAATCACCCTGTATTACAAGAGTACCAATGTCTGCATAATGGTTGAACTTTTACCCTAATAGCATGTGGATTCTCCAATGCATCATTTCAAAGGCTGCAAATTTGAATGAGGTCGTTGCTAGCTGGTGAGAAGGGAATGGGAAGTCAGGGTTATGGGCTAAGCAGCAAGTTTAATGCATCTCTACACAGACCAGACAGGAAGCTGGGGGGGGGGGGGGGGGGGGGAAGTGAGGGTGATCTGTCTGATGCATTAGATCATAAAGGCAGCCATAATACTAACTACAAAGCAGCACTCATTAAAACCATAACCATTTTATGAATGAAGCCATTTGCATGACAGATAGATTTCACAAAAGCAGAGTGGCCCATCCCCACCTATTTCCCAGGGTACTTACATCACTCATCAGACCCTTAAAGACAACAAGCTCTGCTTTCAGCCGCTCAATCTTTTCATTTAACTCTTCCTGGACAGCTTCAGCTTCTTGAGCCTCCTATGAGAGAGAAAATAAGGAAAGAGCTAAATATCTGGAAGCATTTACTTAACTGCTAAGCTTCACAAAGGTGGAAAATAGCTGGTAGCCTTGAAAGCCTGCCCGTACCACCTGCACCAACCTCAATAGCCCCACTGCTACTCTACAAATGCAAGTGGTGGAGGGAGCATGGGTGAGTTTCAGGACTGGCCTACCTTGCTGCTCAACCAAGAGCATAGTGGGAGTGAAGGAGAGGAGAATATTTAGATGCAGTGTGGTCCAGGGGTTGCATCATATCAGCATATTTTCCCCTACTTCAATCTGAACACTAGGAACTTCCAATGTTAAGAGAACCCCAATTCAGGGATTGGTTTTGTTCTATTAAGAAGGGTTCTCATGATGATGAGAGGCTAATGGCTTGGACTACTATAGCTGAACACTCCAAAGAAGCAACCCTTTACCTTCATTAAGTTAAGAGATTGCCTTCTGCAAAAGAACTGATACAGGATTAACATCCCATTTATTGCATATACTGAAGAATAAAGATGCATTGCTTGAAGATTGAACTAGGTGAATCAAGGCACTCCTCCTGCTTCAGTCATAAAATTCAGCATCAAGCAGCCTAAGGTTTCAAATATTAACAGCTCTATCCAGCAGGAGGTAATTCAGCTGCCATAACTACAAGGGTTCAAGACTCTTAGGATCAAAGAGTAATTAATCCAGACAAAATATTAATTTTAAATGACCAGATTAAAGGGGAAAAACCTATACTATAAAGTATTTTAGCTCAAGAGTTGGAGGAATGGTGGTCAGTACTAGGAAAGTCCAAATCCCACTCAAAACCCACCTCTTGCAAGGTTTCCACCATAGACTCCAGACTCATTCGCTTTGCCAGTTCCTCCTCCCATCTGAAAGAAAAAAAGATTTGCAGACAGAGATTAGATCAACATTTCTGATTGAGTTTATTCCAACTACAGAGATCTTACCTTACCACTTGTAATAAAAAAAGAAGATTAGATAGTTATTGTAGGTGTCAAGTGGAAAACTTCCCTTAGTCTCAGCCACATGTGCGCACACATACTCAAACTGCCAATTTTCAAAGTAGCAATTGGAGTTTAATTAGTTTACCTGCTAACACTATTTTCATTCTTTGACTGTAGCATGTGGACATGTATAAAAATGGGACACTTCCACTGCAGCAGCAATAGGTTGAAAATCTAGACAAGTCAACAAATTTGCTACTTCTGGTATTTAGCCCTATAAACTCCAGGGACTAGTTATAAGCCTTCTTCATGACAATATCTTCAAATGCCTATATTTATTCCAGTTGTATCATAGAAGTACAGTTCCAAGCAGAGTATCTATCCTGCAAGGGGGTCCTTGAATGCGGTATGAATGCATGACATATATGCCTTGTTACTGTCACATGCAAGAGGCACTACCATAGTGGGAACCAGGATGGCATTAAGGGAGGGTAAAACTTTCCATCAGTCTCAGATTGCAGGGCACACACTATTTCTAAAAACATTGTATCTTAAGGAAGAACAGTCCCGAATGATTTTTACACATTCCATCTCATCAATGCACCTCTAGTTCCCAAGCACAGGAAATGGGGAGCTGGTAAGCAACAACAGGGCATTTGGTCCATCAGGAGAGAAGAGGAGATGAAGACTGTTTAACAACATTACCACATGTGGAAAATGCTAAAATCATGGACCAATTTAGGCAAAAATAGACTAAACTGCTTAAGCTACCTCTTACCAGCCAATATTTTAAATAGGCATTAATGCCAGTGAATAGGACCAATTTAGGATGAGTGATATTGAGTGTAAATATATACAAAATGAATATTTCTTCATGTACATTTATAGATCTGAACTGTCAAACTTCCGGCCTGTTCAATAAAAGCAGCAGTTCTAAGTCTGAAAATACTGCTGTTTGCTGACATGTCTGACAAAAATAATTAAACATGAGACGCAAGGGAGGTCAGCAAGAAAAAATAGAGCACAACCACTGAAATAGAAGAAAGGAAGGATGCCAAGAAGTCGGTCATCAGGCCCAGATCCAATCCTTTCCATTAGCAGTTTTTTGAAGAAAATCTTGTGGGTCTGTTTCATTTCTTTTTAAAAGGTTTATTGGTGCTAGCTTAATATTCACTGTCCTTTGAGCTGATGTCCACCATAAACCAAAGGAGGTATGAACTGAGCTAGATAGCTTTTCAGCACCTGTCTCCCGTTTGAGTGTTCTGGACTTCAATGTGCCTCTCATTTCTTTCCCAAGATTTCCCCTCATCTTCCATCTCTTTTGATTAAGATTATTCTCCTTTAAGCCCCTGTATCATTCTTGATGGCCACCAATAGTTTTCCCATGTTTATCATATAGCAGAAGTATGGTATTGGTGGCAAGTACTCCACCAATAGGCTTACCCTCAGAATTTCCAGGTTTTCTCATTTATCCTTGCAACTCATCTACATTGTGTTCCTATTCTATTCAATTATCCTCCCCAATTTTCTTAAGTTTTAAGATTTCATGACCTAACTGCACGGTTTTATGTTCTTTCTTCCAAGTTGCCAACAATCAAGTCTGGTCTAATACTGACAGGAACACAGGCCAGGAGAAACAGTTGCTCCATCAGTGACCAACACCCATCAGTCCAGAAATAGAATCGCATCTTCTCCACAAAAACCCATAATGCATATCTGCAGCATTGCATGATTTGCTACGCCTTCCTTGCAATATATGCAACCCTGACTCTAACACTGGACTAACTAGAAGAACCAGGAATTGAAATTAACTAAACACTGATTATATTTCCATCGATCAAAGAGAGATGAGTAAAAAAAAATTTTTTTTAATCAGTTTTATTAAATTTTATTACGTTAAGCTCTTCGAACAGTCCTTTTTAATTAATAATTTAAACAGAGTACCTACTAAACTTTCAAATGCTCTATGATGCATCCTAATCTGACGTGCTATTTATAAACATGAAGGCATTTTAAAAAAATTATTAAAGACAGTGCCCCTTTAAGAATATATGCCAAAGTACGGCAATAGATTTAATCCTGCAATTTATAATTGACACTTTTGTTTAACATTGTTGAATTATGAATCCATCATTGGATTAGTGTGAAAATATCTGGCAGTCATCTTCCCTTCACACATGGAAAGCTATATATGTGGTGAACAAAGTATTGTAGAATTGTGCAAGGTCAATTCTGGAGAGGTTGGCAACAAGGTTTCTTCAGTGGATTTTAACATGTACGAGATTGTTGTCTATCACCTTTCTTAGGCCAAGCTTGTGCAACTATTCTAAGAGAAACATTCCTACAGGACACTCATTCACTCAAGTTTAGTAAAAGCCAAAGCTTTATCTCTGGAAAATCTGTCTGAAGCATTCCCAGCTCACTAAAGCCAATTGAACCCCCCAAAACAGTAGCTTCATCAGGCAACAAGGGATTCTCCCATTTAGAATAAAGCTTCTTTTTATAGTTTAACAGAAGCTTGGCTTCTGGCACCAGCAGTTAAAAGGAACCAGGGTCCACTGACTCAGTCAGCTAAACATCCAACAGAAAGTTTCCGTTATGTAAACCTTTGGAATGCAGCAGGTCGCAAAATCTGCACAGACCTTTCACTCAACAAATCCCCCAACAGAGCCTGGGAATTTGAAAGCCTAGTTACAGAGTATGACTGATCACTGCCATTAAGAAATTTGCTTGCACTAATCCAGTAAATACAGTCTACCAAATGACAATTAAAAGCACTCCTATAACCTCTAATTATAATAAGGTATGTTATTTTTGGTCACACTCAGACAAATAGTTTTACAGCTAAATTAGAAGATGCAAGTCGTGGATATGAAGGTCTACCCCCCAAAAATATTTACTTTAATCCAAAAATGATAGGATTAAGAACGTTGAAAGGAGAGGGAAGAGTGCGTTTTCTGGGTCAATTTCATAATCTTGCCAGTACAGTGTTAAGTTTTCCAATAGGAATAATTTCACCATATTTTCAAGTTTACAAAAGAAACCTGGTAAAGTGACTGGATTTTATGGGACGTTTGTGACACATTAAACAATTCTAAATTCACATACTGTATCATAAGCCCCAACACCCCCCCCCCCACAGACTGCAATAGGTTTGCATTTCAAATGCAGTTGAATGCCAAAGGATCATTTCAGCAGGGAAGAACAAAGGCAGCTGTGGGTGTGCTGCAATTCTCGGTCTTAATCCATGACCAGCGGCACCTGAATTTATCATATTCTAATACAGTAGCAGCAGCATTGACTAGGCCCTGCACTAGTGTGTTACAATAGGACAGGCTGACCGCATTTACTCTTCCCCTGCCACTCCAGGGCAGAGATACTTGGCATGGTAGCATTACATCAACTCTCCAATATGTAAGTGAATGCTAAAGTGGTACAGAAAGACATTACCCGTGTCTTTTCTCTGCCAATTATTTACTGCCAAACAGACTAAAATATTTAGGCTGGAATTTGTATTTGCCACAAATATTTTAGCTTTCATTTCCAATGTCCTATATGCATTAAGGCTGCTAGTCACATGTACAAGCAGCATCCTTATTTTTCAAACCTCATTTGGTCATCTCACCTTCTGGACTGTGACTGACTGCTTAATATTAAATTCACTACATGCAATATGGTCCCCTTCTGCTACATTGAGGATGTGTCATATGGTTTTAGGCATTCATACTGCATTGCTGCCAGCACACAGTCAGTTGTGAATGCAAGACAGTGTAACTAGATATTAGGAAAACTGCAGTGCGCCGTCTCAAGAGAGATCTGAAATGTATTACTTAAATGCTGAAATGTTGAATACTAATTATATTTAGGTGAAGAGATTTAACCCATTATTTGCATCCATGCCCAAACACATAACATAGCTCTGCGGGGAAATTATTTTTAGTAAATATTACATCCATATATTTTTACTAGTTGTAAGTCAAAAGCAAGCAAAATGCTTCAGCTTCCATCCCGAACACTTCAGTCACTCTGGAAAACTGTCAAAATTATCCATTCAGAATCTATGCACAGCCTATGGGGTAACATCATTAACTTCCATCATTCCATTCAGTTCCACTGGTTTAGTTTTTCCATCCTTATGCCATAATTTAACTGCATTTCATAGAAAGGAAGCATACAGCCCCAGTTCCTTTAAGTAGAAAGCAAAGAATTTTTATGGAGAGTGGAAGAAGGGTGCCATCTTTTAAATAATAGATTAAAATTATGTTCTCAGCATATATTTATCCATTTCTCCAATGGAAACAGAAATCTGGGCCTTTTGAAAGGAAGCCAGGAATTACATTAGACTGATAATAAATCAGGGTCCCCATCATATATCACTGATCAATAAAGTCAACTTGTTCTCAGTTTCAGAATGCATTCCCTACTGCCTGCCTGACTAGCCTCATGTAACACCTGGAAAAATGAAGTCACCGAGTTGACATCTGGAGGGGAAAAAAAACCATACAAAAACAAAAAAATCATCAGTCTCCATCTTCCCCACCACTCTTAACACAAACCTCTGGAGATTTGTTTTTTGGGGGAAGAGGGAGAAAAATGGAAGGAGTGGGGAGAGAAGAATGAGGATTGAATTGAAGATTCAATCTTCCCTTAATGCTTCCAAGCAAATTAGATAATAGATTGTTTTTTGACACTATCATCCTGTATTTGCAGTAACACAAGTATTTTAAAGGGCCTTGGGCAATTGCTGCTACTGTACATTCAAGTATTGCAATAAGCAAAGAAAAAGACAGCATACCCTTGGGAAGGTGCTAACTACTGTGCATTGGCACAGACATATGAAACATGTACTAAGCAGTACTACAGAATTTTAGGCTAGCCAATTTCTGCCCACTCAATTTCTCTTCCAACACAAGAGCTGAACTGCA